ACCACAATAGAACAAAGGAAAGAAACATTACCAGTGATGAGTAATAATGCTTTCTTGTAGTGAAACATAAGCAGGTTTACTACTCCAACACAGCTTTTAGGCATTTTCAGACTGCACCGAACGATGAGTGTCTAGGTTTCGTAAAACGTAATTACTGATCTGTCTGGCCAGATTTACCTTACATAAGGTAAAAATTGTCTAGGTGGACCTGACGTTTATGGGGCGGCGATGTCCAGCAGTAGATGTCAACTGTGCTTTTTTGTTGACTTTGACAATGGACAATCGTACGAGACACAGCACAATTATCATGGACCATGCATAGGCATCATGCGAGCCTTTTCTACGTTACTTGTAAAAAACGTCTACGCATTGTGCAGACTGGGGTGTCCCCATGCCCATGACGAAACCAGTGGGCCAAACCCGCATTGTCATCTCCGATCTGTCATACATCGTCGTCACTTGGCATTTGGACACAACTGCTGTTAATGCCGAAAGAGGTAAAAAGTTGACGGAGAAGACCAGCAGCTGCCACAACAACAGCAACTATTTACTTATTACGTGCTTTGTTGCTGTATTCCTATGGTAGTATTGGCCAATGGACTAAGTTTTGCGCTGTTTGTCTGTGCATCCAGCAATTTGTCGGGCTTTCCTTTTCGCTGTCACGTTTCAAGGGCACGCACGAATCGTCGTCATTATGGACGATCGTAAAAATTGGAAGCTTCTAGTGTTCCGACATACCAGAACAACATGACATTCAGTGGACGAATGAAATATTCTATTACATTTATGGAAAATAAAAATCTGCCAGAAGTATATCGGGCCACCCTATCTGCACCAACGGACTTGATTTGCGTTTCTGTCATGCGCATGATGTCTAATCCTATGTCCCTTCAGTTACGTGAACACTTACCTTCATTGAATTAGAACAGTGTTTTACTGACGAATTCATTAGTGGCGTAACAGGTTCGTTTGCGGATACGCGGTGGCTTCAGACACAAATGGATCAACGTACGAACAAATCCTCCATTGTGTGAGGTTATTCCTGCGCACAGCAAGAAAGGAACCCATGCCCAGAAAAACAAAGGCAGAAGATGCTTCTAGCGCGCACGCTCGATGACATATTAATATAGTTAAGCGCTTCGCATCTGTTGCTATGAGTTCCTCTGGCTCGCGCAACGCTGACGCATCCCTAATGCTTACCAGTAACCCGTGCTCTTGCATATGTATGTGTGTGCGTATGCATGTACGTTTCTGTCAGCTTGCTCAGTTGGCAAGGCAAAAGGAGGCGAAAACGAACTACTTCAAACATAAATCGATTGATTGACCGGCGCCAGACCGCACAGGCTTCGAACGGTCATTTCGATGACGACAGTAACAATCGACTGCCCTACTTTATATCTATCCTTTGTTTCGTTCTAGCTTTATTGCGCTATTTATTCGGTTCCTTATTATTATGGTACGCTAAAACGATTATGACGCGTTGCTTCTATTGACCGCGTTACGGCAGCAGTGCAACTAAATCGAAAGTACAAATTCATACTTCGGAAAAAAGACCAAAATAATATATGGAATGAATATTGCCAGACAGAGGTACCCTGACGAAAGATCGGATCTATGTAGATTTGCATAAACAAAGAGAAAGTGGGAGAACGGCCACAAACATGTTACCGAAGCGATTGCGAGCGAGACAAGCAGAAACCGCAAACTCGGCATTCGGTGTTGTTTCTAGACACCTCAAGACCAAGCGATGGGCACAACTGTGCACTCGCGAAAGTACGCGGGTGCCGACGGGTACAGGAGCAAAGCTGAATTGCCATTACGTAAATTACGCCTAATTCGTAATAGAAAGAGCCGAAAAGGCTCTTTTTCTTTCTTTCTTTTTTTTTTTTAAATTACAACGAGAATAGAAAATTCAGTTTGTAGTCAATGTGACGGTTGACATTTAAGCACCGAAAACAGTAAAATCTAAGTTGACAAGGCGTTTGCTAAAATAGTCAATTTTCATCCAATAGGAAGGTATATGAGATATCCTAGGGTACAATATTAACAAGATTAAAAAAAGGTTTTTAATATTGATATTGTTTATGAGTTGGCTGTTTTGGCATCTCATACGTTGATATTTTGCTTCGGTCTGACAAAGTCAGAGTTGTGTATATTTTCGAATAGGATTTCTCGTGTCAACTATTACGATGACAAAACATTTGATCGTTCCCGTTGAACCACCGAAGACTTCTGTAAATCGGACTGCCCAAATAAGGAGGAAACTGCTTTTCAGCCACGCTGACCAAATAGAATCACTGACTGGTATTGTTATCGTATAGCAGCAGCACGGTCTGTATCGAGAGCAGAGCGGTACTGGATTGACGACGACAAATATTTCAACCAATGCGTTTTGTGCGCAAAGCGAAGAGTGCGACCTTTGGCTTCTTTCGGAAATTATATTGTACATCGTCAATCACAGTCGTTTGTCGCTTTGGACGATCCTTTTCGTTTGTAAACTTGCCTTCTAGTAGATGAGCCCCTAGACAAGGCTCCATAACCGTGGTCCATCAGAACATAATGAGCTGTACAAGAGAGTACAGTGGTAACGGATTTGCAAGTATTCCAAAAGGTAACTCATCCAGTTAGTTTTATCTGCGGAGTGCCAACTCGAGTAGAGAGAATCAGCCCTATCAGAACTATCAAGCTTCGTTAGTGCATAATATAGAGTAGGGGTGTACATGTGAAATAGTATGAGGTGTTCTCAGTGATCTATTATCTATCTATCTCAGTGATGTTGACGAAAAATGACTGATCATATACTCTAGATTTTGCTCCGATTGTGTTCTATAAGCATTGCAACAACTTTTACGTTGCTTTCACCCGATCGGCTAGTCTATGCAAAGCTCTGAAACATACAGAGCCTATTGTGTACACTTGAGAAATTATCTCGATCCCGACGTAGCTTCAGATTTGTTATACGAATAATATATAGTAAATTCATGCTTTTCTTAGTTTAGATCTCATTGCTGGTCTGTAAGGAACAACAAGCAAGAGATAAACTCGAACTGAGCGAATGTTAGCTCTACGTCTGGGACTGGCACTAAGGGTTGTCTCAAAAATCCTAGACTGATTGAACCGGACGGCTGGCCGAATACAAATCCGTTATAAGCGGTAGAGGAATAAGGTTAAACGACATTATCTTTTCTGTATAGGCTAATTATCCTGGCACTACAAGGTAAAAGCTACAGGTCAGCGAAGGCTGTCACGCGCCGACATAAGTGGTAATATCAAATTTTGCAGATATTATAATACACCTTCCGTAGCGTACGTCAACAGCGTTTGAATGAATCTACACAATTTGTGCGCCCGGAAGTACAACGTAACTTTCAGGAAAGGGCAAAACCAAATGTTTGTATCAGCGGATTATCTGCAGCCATCCGTTTAATTCGAGACCGAACGTGCCGTGCACCCAGAATATAAAAGAGGGTAGGCCAACGTTTAAAGATCTTTAATCTCTTTTAAGGCTAGGCTTTATAGGGACTAGATATCTTGTTTTATCGCTCGTTCTTTTCTTGTAATCTATAGTTCAATGTTCAATTTTGCTCATCTTCATTGGCTTAATGAGTTCTTTATATTAAATTCAAAATCAGTTCGAAATCAGTGGAATGGTGACGCATGAAAAGTTTCCATTTTTTACAGCTCACGCTAGGCGATCACGACTAAGTCGTACATTGTAAATACGATATTCTCTGTTTTGAGTAGTGAGAGAATGTACGCTGAGTACTATTTGTAGTGCGTACTCAGAACGTGTACGCCTGCGTACGGCGTTGCACCGGATTCGATACCATCTATTGATCCCGTAGGATACTACCGCAGGATTTAGTAACTTGAATGTATGGCTGAACCAGTCAATCGACGAAGCAAGCGTTTTTCTGTCGAAGCGCGGAGTTAAAAAATTTAACTTCAGGACATGTGATGGTTTTGAAATTAAGTAAGCTTTTTCTAATAAACAACAGTTGTTCTCCTGCAGGCAACATCTACCGTTCAATTGCTCCTTTTCTATCTAGCATTACTGGCGGCAAAATAATTTCCCGAACATACGCGAATCATATCAGGTTTTGCAGATATAAATCTGCAACCAGGTAAACATGCTTTGGACGAGATGTATTATGTTCCTGTACTAACAACCCTTTATCTCCTCTTTCGAGAGCCAATCATAACGGAACGCCCAATGAAACCGTTGCTTTTTTGGTATATGACGGTGTTGTTTAACTACTTGAGCCAATGGTAATGAGTAATCGTAGTCCATCATCAAACAATAGACGAAACAGACTTGAGAAGGAGCAATAACCGCGTCAAGGAGCTAGACAAGGATGTACGTAGGCCACAAATCATCAGCCATTTGTTACTTTAGACGGTCGTCGTCGGTCACCGTTTATTCAAATGGAATACTCGGACATTCAAAAGTCGCTTTGGCAGCAAAATCAATAATCAAAAAAAGAACCGTCTGTTCCTGTTACTTTTTTTTCTCGGTAAAACCAAAAAATAGATATCGATCCAGCAAACCGCCACTGTTAATTCTACTCGGCTAATTGTTATTGCTGCAAAAGCTTGTTAGTCAGTTGCTGTCAATGGCAGCCTGGAAATTTTGCTGATATACACACACAGGCGCCGCTTGTGTTTGGACGGAAAAACATTCATAGATGTGATCAAACTATTATGGACTTATCTAATCTATTGGACTAATCTCATTGTAGACCTAGGCTATCCGCGCCAATTTACCTATACGCTAGTTGCATATAATGACAAGCAGAGATTTTTTTAATTCGTTAGTAGCGCGATGCTCTGCAGTATCTGAAAAACCAGCAAAGCGAAATTATACTTGTTATCATATCGATGATACATATGCAGGACTCTATTCTATCTATCTTATACGCAAACAGGAGCATATTCATTTTTAATAAAATTGTCGCACTAATAGCAAACAATAAATATCAGGTTTATTTTTGAATTTTTAGGATCGCACGGAGCTACTTACCATGGTATCTACCTTGGCGAAATTGGTGATGGCAGCATACATAAAGTTTCCGGAAAAGTCTACCTGTCCAATAAAAACGAGCTTCATTTAGTCGACTTCAACTACGACGGAGCTGGTCCTGACGCCTTCTTTATGATCGTCAAAGAGGGCAATCCCAGCGCGGAGGGAATCAAACTTGCCGATGAGAACGGATCGTACGTTATCAATGCAGCATTCGCTTGCCCCACATTGGTTACTTTTCCGCCACACCCTATCGTTCCAACACGATTAGTTACAAAGTAAAAGCGTAATAATATAAATGGTGTAATTCTGCCCAGGTACAGGCTCTCTTAACCAGCAATTCAACTGTCAGATACAGATCATGCAAACGGAACAGACAATTTATTTCACGTAATCGATTTTGCTTAGATGCGACTCAGATGGCTATTTTAGAATATTCGATACTTTTAATGTGAACATGGAACTATTGCAGGACCGCAAAGTTAAAGGGTTATCGCAGCGCGAACTTGTACCTGCCACTGGGACCGCACGACATCCGTGATGTGAAGTTCTTCTATGTGTTCTGTATCAAGGCCAATCAACTGTTCGGAGCGGTACCCATAACAAATCCACTAGTTCCTTCCGAGCAAAAAATTAGCGATGGAATTCAAGGAGCTCATGGCGTTAGCACTGGAGTAATTACCCTTAAAGATTCCCGTACTATGATCATTAAGGATTTCAGCTATGATGGAGCCGCTCCCGGTACGACCACTCAATAGGCATATCGAGCTGCACAACCTATTCAGCCAGTAATAAAATTTCTCTTGATTAAAGGTCTAAACATTTTACGTAAATACAAATATTATAGGTCCCGAATTTGGAACCATGTAGGCCGTTTTTGAGAAGCTCGGATTTAATGCTCGTGCCAGCTAGCAATAGGAAACAAGTACGCTGAGCTCCAAATCGATAGTTCTATCATTTCACTTCGATTTCCAATATCTACTATCTTGGGCTGTCAAAAAAGTATTGACTATTTTTTTTTTAACTAAATGGATCCAAATTTACATATCTCAGTATGAGACACGTCGGGCCGATGCTGGTGTCATTGGAAAGCAATCGTAGATGCACTAAAATTGTCGGGATGCCTTTATTCAGAGTCGGACTGCGTTGAAAATGAGTGAAGTTTCAGTTCCGCAGAACCCCGCTATATTCTACAATTTTATTACGATAAAGTCACGGGCCCATAAAAAATGTATACTGTCTATGGTTAAAATGCTCTATCAGAAGAAGAAACGGCTTAAAAATGGTACAGCCGCTTTCGTTCTCGAAAGTTCGATGTGACGAATTCCTTTCATGGTGGTCGATCAATTACGGAAAAAGTTGATGAAATTATCGTGAAGATCGAGCAAGACCAACACGTGAACAGCCATCATAGCAAACAGCTGTAAACGATTTGAAGAAAACTAGCTACGAAAAAGTTCCAATGTTTAGATACTACACAAGTTGACGGAAAGGAATTTACCTGATCGTATTAGAAACTTAACAGAAAGTCAACAAACTCAAGTCATTTCTAAAGCGGTTGATTACGGGTGATAAAAAGTAAATCACATACGCTGCGCTAAAGCGTTGGCCGACGCCAAAGAACATAACGCTTTGTATTTGGTGGGACTAGAAATTGTGCGTTGCAGCCTGCTGCTGCTGCTGCTGCTGTCTGGCCAGATGATTGGCTTGTTAGCAACTGATAAGATTACAACAAGGCATTGAAAAAGCCATCGACCAGAACTGGAGAACAGAAAAAGCGTTTCTCTGCAGGGGCGATGGCGGACCACGTATGCCTTCAGCTACCCGACAAAATTTGACAAAAGTTGGATGGAAGATTCTACCGTCAGACTACCATCGTTCCACATAGAGTTATTACAAATAGTGTTAGTTTAGTTTCATAAAGAAATACAGTAATTGCTTACGAATCTTCGTCCAGGAACCAGCGAACCTATACAGCGATGTAGATTATGGTTTTACCATGCAAATGGTACAAGTTCATAGATCAAAAATGGCCCATAGTTACTATGCTAATCCTATTTTAGAACATTAAAAAAATCTGCTTCAATTTGGCCTCGAGAACGGTCAATACTTTTTCGGCAACCCAATATGTCAGATTGTACCACACAGAATAATTGTTTAGTAAGAAAGAAGTGAAATTTGTAATGAAAATTTTCATGCAGTTATAAAATCATTAGTTTATGCTTTTTCCTTAAATATCACCTTATTTAACTTTGTCGAACTTGCTCTTCCGCAGACGCTTTCTTCACTGTTGGCCAAGGCAATCCGTCCACCGATGGCGAGAAGCTGCCCAACGAAAGAGGCAGCATCGTCAAACTTCCCCGGTACCAACGGCAGACCATTATGCTAACGCTTCCGCAGGATAAATCCTGGGCAGATTATGACTATCTGTCCGTATTCTGCCATCGTGCGCGACAGGACTTTGCGCATGTGCGTATCCCCCGAGACCAATTAACCATTCCGGTTGCGCGTGGATCAGGTGCGTACCGGAGAGCGGCGGCCTCTGCGGCGATAACAGTAGCGGCGGTTGCGTTCGCCTTGTTCAGAAACACCAATTGTAACTAAGGGCAGAATTAGGACAAGACGAAAACTGTCCAAGGACAAACGCAGGCTTCGGACACAAACAAAATCCTCTTCTTAGAAAGCCCGTTAGAACCTTTTTAGCTTCATATCTCCTTAATTATTGTTGCTTAACTCGGTGTCTTATCCTACTTATCCTAACAATTGGATGAAATAAAGGTTGTCGGCGAAAAATTCGACGTAGACGAAGCTAAAACTTAATTTTTAGGAAAGAACTATTTGCTTAGGCCGTATTTCCTGCAATGAATACCTTTTTGCTTTAATGTTAATTTAAAAAAATTGTGATAAACAGTTACAGATATACTCTTGTTTATTATTAATGAGATGACAGAACGTCTGTTGTTTGTTATAATGATATCAATTACCGCCAGAGTTAAACGGTTGCTATAGATTACAAAAGACCATTGGTGAAGTTGTCTGTCAGTTGTTTATATGTATAAACAACTGACAGACAACTTTAATTTAAACACGCTGCTGTCTAACCACAGAGCCGCGACTCAAAAACAAATACATATTTGTTTTTGAGTCGCGGCTCTGTGCTTAGACAGCAGCGTGTTTAATTAAATATTTCGGTTGATGTATGAGGGTACGACTCGAATGCGTCTGCTGATACGATAAGTAGTAATGTTGAATTCGGTGTTAGCTGTTAGCGAATACAGCCCATTTTCTCAACTGTCCATAAGAAAAGCCACAGTAAAGCACTTGTATTCTCCCTTCTTAGATTTGAGGCATTGACATGGGCAGATATACCATGTGTCACTAACTAAACCCAACACGCAAGCCGTACATTGAAAAAAAGACCTCACTAAAGTATTGGCGGCCGTTGCAGACGCCAACAAGGGAATCGCTCGAAAAGGTTCCATCATCACCGCGACCACTACAAAGGGGCCCAAAGCGCGTTCCGGCGAAAGCTCACATCTGGGCCAGCCCAGATGAGATGGCTCGCTTGTGTACTCGAGTCCAGCGTCAATTCGTACCACGAGAGAGAGAGAGAGAGAGAGAGAGTCTGGATCTCTTTATCCAAAGAGACCAATGTGAACTCTATCCAGAGTTCGTATTTTCATTGTGGATCAAAATATGAAAGAAACCTCTATGCAAAGAAACAATAATGAGTTATTTTGTTCACTCGGTGTCTGATCATCGTAAAGTTGGTGTTGGGGCTTTTTTGTCCAATGTGCATCTATGATTTTTGCTTGTGTACGTTTCGGAGAATGAAGGCTTCCTGGACTTAGAAAGGTCACTCGAGGGTCATTTTTGCTTTATCGTAGACAGATCAGCGTAAATTAGCCATCCATTGCACCCAAAGTAAAGCAGATAGGCCGATTGCAACACTGACGCATAGATAAGTGACAACGCATATATAAGTTACTTGGTAAACTAGATTAATCGGTTCGACGCCTTGTTGTATTTGATGTAGGTCACAGTTGACGCTTCAGCACCTCATTCATGAGTGTGTCCCAAACTTTTCCGTCGTACCTATTCTTTCCACTCTAGCGTAGTACTAACACCAAATACAAAACAGCTTTCTAAACTATCCATACAGAAAAAACAACACACAAACAAACGTTTACATATAAGATGAGCATGTATGATTTGAATAAAGTATCTTTTTTTCACAAAATGCGTGTCCTCAATGTGGTTAGTGTAAAGGTATAACAGAGGGAGAATAGAAAGTTAGCCGTGATGACCCAAGTAAAATTAAGTTCAACAGGAGCGCACAAGGTAATGAATAATAAGTTCAGCGCTCGTCTCAACTATCGTTGACTTAATCTACAAACTCTCATTGCTTCTACTTTTTTCTTTAACAAGAATATAGCATGCTCTCTGCCATTAACACCACTGTTGTTATTTATACACTTTTTACTTCTTCCTATCCTTAGACGCGGAGCTTTTTGCTTGTCCCAGCAACTAATGATACGAATCAATTAACAAACATCTCTCTCCTTTGCCTTTACACTGCCACTTTGAAATGACGAAAAGACTCATTTGATTACCAAACTAGTGAGTTTTAGTTTAGTGAGTGAAATTTATAATACACAAAAAAATTAAAGTGAACAGGACAAAAAATCACTTGTTTAATTTTACTAGCTTCGACGTATAAATGACTGGACGTATAATTTCATAGGTATTAGGTATAGGTATAGGTAAGTCTCAGTATAATCAAGATTCAGAAGCCTTTTTTGTATAATAGGTAGGATGCAAAAGACATATACTGCGGTTCTCACTCTTAGTGGACGTATCCCTTGTTGTGGCTCGCTGATGTACAAGTGGACGCACCATTATACCGATTTGACGATAATGCAGGAAGCCCAGAATCCAGAGTCCGATTGAATACGTTTGATAGCTACTTGAGCTACAAGTCTTTTTGTGTGCCTTGTACAACAGAAAGATAAGCACATTTGTCAATTGAATCTAGCTCGTTAGCATAGCCGGTGATGATTTTCACTAACGTAAATCACCATTTAATCACCATAACGTAAATACCACCCATTGTCTAAGTGCCGTAAGAGCACCAACATATTGTAATCCATCTGTCCATTATCGTCTTCTTGTTGTAATTTCTACATTTAATTTAGGACCATATAACATGAGCAGGTCCGTAATACTTATCCATCTTTTTATAGTGAATCTTAGGTGACGTACTAGATTAGTGCCTACTAACCCACGCATTTACATTACTAACCTTATGCTGGCAGACAAGGCTAGACTGTTAACAACCAGAGTTGTTCCCCCTACAATGACCGGAACCACAGCACGACCCACGATAAAAGTCACAACTCGTCCTGCGACCAGGACGGCAACACGAGCCAGCGGTCAAAACAGACCCTCAAGACGAAACTCGAAGTTTACTTCTAAACCTAAACCTGAACTGGCTGCATTTAACGAAATTGACCATACATCTGAATTAATCGGCAGTGAGTGACGAAATAAGACGCTGAGCTTGAGTCGCATATACTACACTTTTAACTCGCTACATTGAAAGCAATCGAAAGAAAATGCAAGGCTTTATTTTTGCGAGACATCTGATCCCGCCCCAAAACGGGCTTTATTTAGGTTGCTGCTCATGTTGGCGTGACATGCAATTTTCGTGTTTTTATTCGATTTTCAACTCATAGTGAACTGCTTTTCTATATCGCTTCACAGGCTGCAAAAGGGAAATATTTATTTAAATCTTTGGATTCTTTGAAACCATTCAGTGACTAGGTGCAGACGATCCAACATAATGAATTTTTACTTGTTGGCAGCATGCCTAGATTCTGGTCTGTAATAGGTAGTTGCGAATATAGTACTAGTTGTATATCCTTGCCATTATTATTTTTGAGAGAGTTTTGTGTGACAGGTTGCTTTATTTGTGTTTGTGTTTCGCTTCTACACAGCGATCCGCGAAGGTGTACCTAGGTGACTACCTATTCTTATGAAGTAAATCTTATACTATGTGGTAGAAGGCCTATTTTGTCTTCGATCGTTTTATAGATTCTTTTCAATTTCCTGGAAAGCACGCTTTTTGATGACTCGCTTCTTGCCAACTCTAAACACTGGCTGACAATAACTGGCTGTCTTCCATATTTCGGCATAAATGCGTTCTGCAGGAATAACTATCGGCTAATGATAAGCATTATCGTATACCATTGTCACAGGGCCGACGCCAAGTATCAAGTACTTCGGTAAACTACTTGGAGAGCTGCCCACTTTCGCCCATGAAGTTCGCGGGACAGTGTACGCCGCCAACGAAAATACCGTCGTTATCACAAACTTTTACTACGACGGGGAAGGACCAGGTTAGCGTATCTCCAGTTTTCGGCATGCGAAATGGTTGCATCATGCGGCCGCTCGACACTCACATAGATTTCAATCTATATGAATATAGAAATTACATCCACATTGCACAATCTGTTTGTAAAAATGAAAATTCACGGCAAATGACGTTCATTAAAATTTTCACGAACCGATACAGAGAGTTGAACCCTCTAATTGAGTTTTTTGACCTAATCTACTTTAGGCATTCGTTCTCAAGTTACTTTTTCCGTCTACTGATTTTAATTGGCCCGATTTTTTAGATGCGCATTTCTGGGTCGGCACTACTGGACGCCCGACAAGTGCGGGAATCCAGGTGGCCAATGAGGTGGGATCCCATCAGAAGCTGCAGCGCTACCGAGATGCCTACCTGGTTCTCACTCTTCCTGAGGGAAAAAAAATCACAGACTTCAGCTACTTTGGTGTTTGGTGCAAACAGGCCACGGCGGACTTTGGCCATATCAAGATTCCTCACGATTTTTCCCCTCCTCGAGAGGTGTCCTTGGGACCAATTCCAACGTATGCTCATGGAACGAGTGCCGACGACGTCATCGTGAAAGACTTCAAGACCCTCTTCATCAAAAACCTCAAATACGATGGAGCTGGTCCTGGTGAGTAACTGCGGTCGCATTTGGAGAACACAAGGCAGATACGTACGATCATTAAGTAAAGAAACTGTTGTAAAACATATTCACGATCTTGGTATCCTTACTTTCCTCACCAGATGCCTTCTTTCTGGTGGGCCGGGGACAGGCTCCAACTCCGAATGGCATTAAGGTGCCTGATGAACGCGGCAGCCTGAGCCGTCTACATGGCTATTATGGCGAAGACATCACAATCCGACTACCTCCAGGCGTGTCCGTCTTCGATATCGACTACTTCGGCCTGTACTGTATACGTTACACCGAAAACTTTGGTCACGTGAATTTGCGCCAGGAAATGTTAAATGTCCCTACTGATATCATGGCTCTCAAGTCCGAAATCCTGACGTTCGACAACTGCGAAGACATCATTCCCGATCACCTCCAGGTTTCCTGGAAGATCGATGGACAGAATATCTTCTTCAGACTAAACGGCAGGGCGGGTAGGTTTTTGCAAGGCTTGATAAGAGCCAAAAAGCAAAACAGTGTTGATAGCTGGCGTACTGATACTGATATTTATTAACGCAGGAGGGGTCGCCTAAGGAAGAGCCGCTTTAAACTTAATTAGTCGAAACGAGCGAAACGTAGTTTTAAGAATTCTTCAGAAAATGTATACAACTTTCGTGCCTCACACGCAAATCATTTGAGGTTTAAGCACATTCGTGTCTTCTTTTGCTAGTTACATGCATACGTGTTCTTTTATGTGTCATTATCTGTCGATCTCAGATCCGGAACAATACATTTCATTTGGAATATCTGGTAAACGCGACCGTACGACGATGGAGCATGCCGATGTCGCTGTGGCCTACTATGACAAAAAGATCTCTCTTATCGTCCTGAAAGACTATTTCCTCGAATCTCGAGCGCAGTGCTCTACAAACGGTGGCGTATGTCCAGACGAGCACAATGGCGGCAGGAACGATCTTACTTTAATTTCGAGCGAATACAGAAACGGCATCATTGAGGTCGTGTACAGCCGTCCCTTAGCTACAAGTAGGTGGATAAGCAATTAATCGATAATCCTAATCGCTTGCTAGAAGTCCTCTTGCACACATCAGCAAAAATCTTGGTTCGACATTCAAATACTTCTTCTAATCGTTGTGAAGTATCACAACGACGCTTTACGACCCAGCTCGCGGATCTATGATACAAGTGTACTGGGACTTCACTCGCAAATGTGATATTCGCAACGATGCTATTAGACATACAGGTTTATGTGCTACAAAGCCGTGTAACAATAAGTACGGGGGTACTTTTCGGACTTCGCGATACCAACTTGCAGGTCCTACCTACCACTAGGGTCGATCAGTTTGGCTCAGCTGGCAGCATGTTAAATATTTTTAATTTCCCGCTCTAAAACAACATTTCAGATGATCTCAACGATCGAAATATACCAGCATACGGTGACACGGCTATCGTAGCAGCTATTGGTCCTTGGAGCGATAGCATTATACTCAAACATACAAAATATGTTACCAGAGGTATGAGCATAAGTATAGTGAACTTTAAGTGCTAGGAACACATCATCATGTCGCAAGCACTCACTGATAGTTTTGATTCCCTGTTAATTATTTAGATACAAAATAGAGTACGTCGATCTAGTTCTACTTTTCACAATGGGCCGTGGCGTGACGTAATTAATTCGTATATGTTTGTACATTTGATATCCAGAAGTGTCGTTTGCGTTGGGTTCTTTATATCTAGAAAAACATTGACGACGGTTCGAATCGTTATTTACACTATATGTCCTTATATTTTGCTATTTCAGATACAATCTTTATAAATTTCGGTCGTCCACCGATCAATCAGTGCTTACCTCTAAGCAATCGCAAAGATCCTGCTGTAGCTGGCCAGCCTTTTGCAGCAAGAAAGATTAAGAACGTGAATAAATTCACTGCCCAAATCGGGCCCACGGGAGGATCAAAGGGTTACGTGAAAATCACAGGTAGCTTTATATGTAATTGGTTTTTCTTTGGAAGACCTACAACTATATTGTGTGAACGCATGAAATTGTTTGAGATTCTAGGCCTGGTTCCGGAGACTTCTTAACGATGGTACTGGGACGCATAGAGTATTTGACACATATTGCTCAATAATCGTAATGATCATTTCGTAGCAAACAATACCCGTTATAGTATTGGTAAAAATTTTAGCCATAGCAAAAAAATGGTAACGAAAATTCCCGTTCTTTTCATTCGGGCTCACAGGCCAAGAAGGCTGGGGTATCGCGTGGTGGATCAACGGTCAGCTGATTCCAGAGCTGCATGTAGTTCGGGGACACAATTACACGTTTGTCGTCGAAGGTGGTCTTGAATCGACAAATACGGCTAAATACCACCCTTTCTATATCACGAACAGTCCCGCTGGGGGTGGAGCTAACCATATTGAGGAACTAAACTCGGACGTAAGTTTTGCGCGCTATCGGGATGCCTGTCAGTGACAATTTGAACGGTTCACACTTTGCTCGAAGTTCATTAATATTTCATATGAAACCAGAAGCAAACATGACTTCGATGTGGATTCATGGATTAACTGAATTATACTCCTATATCTACTTTATAATTACTGAGTACCTAATTACTGACTCCAAATCTGTGGTTAATTAATAAGAAGCGGAACTGCCTAACCGGTCGTACCACTTGATATGTATAATGTTCTTTCGTGTCGTGCTAATGAAATCTTATAGAGCCATAAGGTATACGCTGGAATTGACATATCACCGGAGGGAAAAGTGACTCCCGCGACTGGGCGATACTGCGAATGGAAACATAAAACCATAGATCTGGCGGAAGAGGTAGATACGTTTGAGGAATACAAGGCGACGCTACGTCTACAGTGTGATCCTGGACAACCTGGTACCTTTTTCTGGACGCCTGATGGCAATACACCCAACACAGTGTACTATCAGGTGAGAGAATTGAGGAAGAAAGTCCTCAGTAACACAGCATCAATATATAGTAGCTCAGGCCTCTTTATAAGATAAGACATTCATCTTGGTGATGTTATACGAGGGGTTGTCCGTTCTTCCAATATAGAGGTGGTGTGGCCTATTCTGCTGACTCTAACATGCTTTTGCATAATTGCTTTATTTCTGCTTGTCGTTTAGTGTTTTACCCATTCATATCTGGGATGGAAAATCCGTGTTCTCAATGAAGGCGAAAACTCGTCCACTTCGCGCTCTGCCGGGATCTCGTTGCTAACTGTCGCTTTGATCTTTCAACGGCTACTGAGATAATCACCGAAGTTCCGTGATGATTCGTGCCGGTTTTTTATTACCATTATTATTAGTTTACCTATATCATTTTATATACTATTTCTTATAGTTAGATTCGTCTATGCATCCACAAACTATACAAAACAAAAAAGTATAAACACTAATAATAACGACATAATGTCAATTACAGCCTGAAGCCGCTCACATAGATGAAGCGCCCGTATCAATTTTCTGGTGAAAAAGATTTGTTTGCTGAGCATATCTTTGCTTTAAAAGCGTATAATCGACGTTTATTAACAGACATAAACAAATCATAGCAAGGGCTTTTCCTTCGACAAAATAGCTTGGAAATATCGGTCAGTGTTTTCGGAAATTTTAATAAAAAATAATATGAGGGGTTTAAAGATCGTCCACACAACACCAAAGATTCTATTTGGACATCAGCTGGATACTATGCATCCGCTAACATTATAGTGCCCTAGCTTACGAATAGCTAATTGATTTTGTCTCCTTTGCAAGATATGGCCGTCGTCAGTGACGATTTTGTGCGGGCGCACATGTAAAAACAATGGGCGGCTGGCTTGAAACGCTTCTTACCTTCCCTTTAAACTGCGCTAGAAGATCAAGCACAAGCACAAGCACACCTTCCTAGACGTCTATATCCTTCATTTCAGTCTGAGGGAAGTGGTTTCATACTCAAGCGGAAAATCAAAACAATGTGCAAATGATCTGCAATTCAAGTATATATATGATCAGAAATGTTTGTTGATTTCCACCTTTGTCAAACACCTTGTATTTAAAAAGCTTTTGTATTGTCAGTACGCAAGGTACCTGATAAAGGTGAAAATCGATGAATGTAATTAGGAGAGTTTGCGACAGTTGAGTATGGGATATTCGGCTCTGCCTCCTAATTGCTGCATAAACGGATCAGACCTTAGACATCAATTTCCCGTTCAGACAGAATAAAAATAGCTGGGTCTCCATAACACCGGTTTGTGCTGTGTCTCCATAGGAAGGCATGAAGTGTGGCACTCGAACATTTTTCTTCTAATCGATCCCCTCTTGTTCCGAAACCTTTTCCGTATATATCTTGTACATGACTTTATCCATACACACACATGCCCATAACACAGCAAAAGATGAGTATATAATTAACAGCACAACCAGCGTAAATACACATTTGATATAGGTTAAGAAGGAGCAGCCGTAGTGCTTCTCAGTGAGCAACGGCGCAGTGAGGTGATGCCACCAGCTTGACAAGCGACATCCCCTTGCAGTGTCTAATTTTCTAAGGATAGCTAATTCGATGGTATAGGATGCGACAACTATTTAGATAGTTCTATATAAATATGCATAGCTAGATAAAGGATTGCAAAAGAACAGCCAACGTGAACTTGTGGAAAAGCGAAACAAAGCGAAAAGACAAGTGAGAATGGGGCAATCGATAACGGACTGCCTGTGCCTGCAGGCCCTGTCCCGCCTTCGCGGGTGAAGTATGATTGATTATTAGTATGTTGTGGTATGGACCTTTGACGACAAAATCCAGTTACGGCAGCAAAAACAGGTGTCCGATATAGATTTCGATGACCGCCTTCAAAATGGACCAAGATCGTTAAGCGTAGAAGGGCTAAGCAAATATGTTCATCTTATTTATGATGGTTATCGTTGAATCGAAATGAGTAAAACATTACTGAACAATGATAAATGGTAAATGATTTGTAGAGCAATCAGAAAACGACGGGGCTCGTGTCCTGAAAGCGGTTCAATTATAATCCAATCATGAGTAACGTTATTATCATTATTAACTATTTTTATTATGATGAGTATGTTTTTAAATTTCACATTGAATAGGCCTGTGATAATATGTTAAGTTAGATGGTCACATAATGTGTATGACTGACTCATTACTATGATTACGGCTAAGTAACAGACCTTCGTAAATACATTACGCGGACCCATAGGTATGTTAAAGCTGTGGTAGGAAAAAATCGTCACTCGACACTTGAAGGTTGTTTATAGACTTGGCCTGATTTTTTATCATGGCTTTTCTAGGACATTCATGTATTTTGCTTCACTCTACTATGAATAATGCTTATATATGTGAAGGCGTATTAGAGTCGGCGCAGTAGAAGTGCCATAAGTCCGTAAAGGAAATATTTTTCTTGCGTTTTTTTTTTTTATCTTTAACAATCTCCTTCAATAAATGATGTTATCTATAGTTAATCGTGTGCTTGATTGAATTCGGTAAACTTGAATCTTCTAGTAAACCTGAGAGAAGCAAAAAGTTTTTTGCTTCCTAGTTATTTCTTAAATGTCTTTTTCCTGCATAATAGGATTATGTACCATCTTTCATATGATTTTCGGGCACTTCATGTTCTTTTTGTTCCTAGCCTAAATATTCTTAAATGTACCAGCTTTCAAAATGCGACAATTTAGTATTTTACCATATTAGAGCAGCATTTGAGATTGAAAAATATAAGATAGTTGATTGAAACTATTCAACAATAAAAAAAAATCGATTTGAAAAAATACAATAAAAATTTGAAGATTATATAATAAAAAATTGAAGAGTAAAACTTTTTGTCAACAAAATTGTATTCGTAAAAAATGCCTGTATAAGCATTGAGCAGCTAACGATGTGGAGAAAACCTAACCTTGTTCAATTGTAAGCGCACAACTTTTTGTCGAAAGAGCTTCAGCGTGCAAAATCTATTTGATAAGAGCACGAAACATTCGTCGTCAATAAAGAGGCAATTTTGGGAAACGCCTCATTTAAAAGCAGTAAATCACTATAAGGAATTATGTATTATCTTCAATACAAGCGGATGTTTTCTACAACGTATAGAAGTACATACATAAGTGATACTGCTCAGGCCGTCAATCGTCCTAGCGCCGCATCTACTTAACATGACTGAGAACCGCTTGCGGAGTAAATAGCAGTGCATGGATAGAAGCCTGTAAAGAAGCTCGTTCTTTTTCGTGAACGAGTGGATTTGACGTATTGTCGTCGTGCCTACTCTAGTCTTTCGATTAGTTGGAATAACAGGAGACACTTTTGATAATAGGCCAAAATTGACGAAAATTTAGATATATGACGGAAGAAAAGGTGTATGCCCTGACGCATTTATATCATGCAACAAAGATGATGTGGGCTTCGCTAGAATGCTGTGATTGTTTCACCATAATCTCATTTTGCTTCATTACGGCTTCCTTCACGTTTAACGTACATTTTTCAACAACGTCAGCCTAGGCTATCTTTTCCGGTCGTCAAAATGCACCAATGAATTACGGTTTCATGTATCGTTTTTAGTTAGAAGCTAAATTCACGCCAAAGTTTAAATAGTTTCCGTCTGCTACCGCCGACTAAGGAACGCGCCAGTATTTTATTGCGGAAATAATTGAGTCGTTTTTACAGCAAAAATATTCACCGCCGGTAAAGTAGTTTACTATCAAGGTAATTCGTCTATCAGATCTGTGGCTGGTCAGCGTCCATGATTTAATGAAATAGGTACTATGCAAAAACATCATCAACACCGCAAGCTTCAGTGATGTAAACAGATTTTTATTGCTACAGATCTTAACGTTTTTTTTTTTTATTAACAACGCTATGTGCGGCGAATGCTACATTGCACTTTTACCCCATTCTTTATATCGTCGGCTTCGTGTGTGTCTTTCGCCCTTGTTTCTACCGAAGCGTAAACTTCAGGATCGACATCGGCCAACGAATCTGGAAGCTCCTAAAACAGGTACATATACGTGTTCGATTAGTTCGGCAGTGTCGAAAGGTTTTTGTTGTTGGGTAGAATATTTAAGGCTCGATATTTGATAATATGTCATAAACTAGGCTGCTGTTCTGGTTCACTAGAGCTGCGGAGTGTCCTTGGGTGCATTTGCAGTCGGTGGCTGCAAATTTAAGGGTGACCGATTTACCCGACAGAGGGCTCACTGCCTAATTTAAGATGCGTCCAAATCACTTGCCAGGTCGTTTGATTCCCGGAATAAACCCACAGTGGTATAATGGTAAAAGACTGCAATGGCTGATTTTTGCCTAACGTAGACTCCCTGGCCTGGATTATATTGTCGCTATTAATTTCTCCTTTTTGAATAAAAAGAAAAGCGACCTGTTCCGTATGTAACTCGATATATATTCGAAATAATAGTACGAATAGGCTGCGTCGCATCATTTCGCCATATACGTTATTACTAAGTACAAATAGTCAATTAACAAACCTTATTCAGCGTTTCTGGTAAAAAGAGGGTTGAGAGAGCACCCAAAGCAGCGATGCCTGCGGATACTGCAGCAGCAGCGGCGGGACCTGCGAAATCTGCTAGCTCCTGTAAAATAGTTGTACGCAAATAACACGTCGCGTTTATCAACCGGACCTAGGCTATTGAGGTGCTAGCGAAGTGTTCGCAGCTAACGAGCGCACACAAAAAAAATTATATCAAGAACAATTGGTGATACCAGGTGTCACTATACATAAACAACACTGGCTTTAAGTATAACTTTCTAATCGTACTTTGAAGAATGGCGAGAACATCGCGCCAAATCGCGAGGATGTGTACGCGCTGCCAATACCCATGGCTCTTATGACGGTGGGAAACGATTCCGACGCGAACACTCCCAGTGAGCAAGCTCCTATCCCGTTAAGGCTCTTGGCTAGCGTGCACAAAATCACACGCGCCATGAACTGATCTAGAAGACATAGAGATAACAAAATTTTACTTATGTAACCTTCGGAAGACAGTTGTAAATTTTGAAAATTGATTAGCGTGATCACGTGTGGAGCAAAATTTCATAGCTAATGCGCCTATGCAGACAATGTTTTCATTCGTTAGACCACCATTCAGACCAAATTTACTATTATAGATATATGGAATTTTGCTTTGAAATAGTGCGCCGTCCGGGCGCACTAACTTGCGTTAAAATTGTCTTGCAAAAAGAGCTTGCTTGAAAAATATATTGTAGGTTTTTTTTTATAGGTATAAATATACAAGGCTCACAGTTCCAGGTCTATATGCAACTCAGAATTGGTTGCATCTCTAGAAGACATACACAATCAAAATTTTCCGTAAAAACGGCCAGACTCCGCCTTAAAGGGTGTTACCTTGATTTTTAGTTTTCGTTCATAGGGAACGTATCAATATATTCAATGTGTTCAAGCATTTTCAATATATTTTGAGTAAGGTTCCGTAAGTGGATTCATAGCCATATGTACGTTCTGCTTTGAAAACCGATTTGTACATATGTAGTAGGACGCCTTCCTTGTTATAATAATAATAATATTTGTCCTCAGGCGCAGATAATTATATACTTAAAACGAGCTGGGCAGGTGTCAATAAGAGCCTTTTTGATTTGAAGCTTAAATTGAGTATGTTAGAAAAGGAGTGCTAAACAGAGTGAGTTTAACTGGAAGTTGGAAACCCACCTTCGCCAAAGGGGACAAGCAGCAGGATGAACGCGCCGGTACCCAGAAACGATATGAACATGGTGGGTCGCCTCTTGACGTGGCGAATGCAGATCACAGAAATAATATCTGATGGTATAGTGAGAAGAGCAACAAGTGTAAAGCCCCAAAATGGGTTACCTCCCATTCGTGACGAAAAAAATGTTAAGTGAAACATGAGCAGACGATTCGCGAAGCTGTTGAGATGTCGAAGCGTCAAAACGGATGGATAAAAACGAGACAATGTTAGACAACCACGAATCCTACGATCAACAATGGCAATTCAACGAACAACGACTGTGTGTTGGCAACAATTTACTCACTGACACTGTATCTCAACAAAGGGGAAAGGTAACCAAAGGCCTGTTCATCCTCAAGGTGAAAGTTAGTTGTAGAGCATAAGAGACGTACTACATGATGAGAATGCAGACAGAACGGACACGCATCCTAGGCCCGCGAAAAAGGTCAGCATATGCTGGCTGGCCCACTACCGAATCGCGTGGTTTGGTGCCCTGCAATATGTTGTTGTTTTCGCGGTACTCTTCAAACATTTTACCGACGTCGACGTTCTTTAAGTTGTTTTTGCGCACGAGTTTCCCTATTGCCGTCTCAGCTTTATCTACATGCCCACTGGCCAAGAGCCAACGGGGGGATTCGGGTAAAAATCTAAAAGCAAAGTTTGTTTACACTTATTAATCATCTATTATTTGTATCGTCTCTCGAGTTAAACAAGATCTATTTTTCGTTTATTCATATTTCTAACTATTCTTTCACTGTTCGGTTGCTTCCAGGTGACTTACTTTTCTCTTCGAAAAAAAGGTACGCCATCTATCTCGTCTATGCACAATAATGTCGTCATCAAAACTGAAATAATTTCCTTCTTTCGAAACACTCTACATTAACTCTTTACTCACTTCCAGATAATCAGACACGGTATAGCGGAGGCTGCGTAAAGGATTTGTTGGTATATCCAGTTCGGCAGGAGGTACGCGGTCCATGGAAGTATCATCGAGCCAGTTGTCCAGCCAAACGAAGAAAGCATTGCCCAACTTCGCTTCTTAGCGGACAGACACTCCATTACTTCCCATCGGATAAAAACAAACAATAGCATTTATTCGCTGTTAGTTTTTCAATTAACCGTATTGTTTCTATGAGTAAGGTAAATACACTTGATAGGGAAAAAATGAAAGCATTCATATTGGTTTGTAACGTAAGTAGGTCGTCCTCTTCTTAAATCTTTATATGATAATCAAAATGTTCTCTATCACCTCTAAGTTCGTTGTGCAGGAAACGGGGTTCTATGTTGAATTTAGATAGAAAAACGCACTTTCGGCATCAGCTTTATTTTACCTCTTGCGGAGATTAAAGGCTAGGATTTTGTAACGGAATGAAAATGTTCCCTAAGTTAAAAATTAGGGGGCAATGTGGACTGGGTGGCTAAGGCATATCATTTTAAGTGCGTTGCCATGGTAACCATGAGCGCATGCGGCTATGTTTGACCACAATCTAGGATATGTTACCATGGCATATAATTACCATGCCGCTTAAGTCCCAGATAAGTGCCATCCCGGTTAAGTCCTCTACCGAGGGCTTATTGAAGTTAAAAGTTCCGAAAGCACTTTTTAAAAGAGGTTTAAAGCTGTTTAAAACTGAAAGGGGTATACACCATGCCGGTCGGCTATCCGAGGCATCTTAAATGGGAGATGGCTCGTTAATTGTCGAATAAGTTACGAACATTAGACTGTTTTTCCGAATTTTATATCTATTGCGTTTCAGTCGGAGTGCGCTGTAAACTAGGTGAAACGTACAACGAAGTATGACATCTTATCCACTTACAGCATCTTGCTGGGCACCGCAAAATACGCAGCTAAAATGACAGACTTGTCGCCAATTACTAGAAGTAGTGCCTCTTTTTTTTACTATTAAACAAAGGAAAAAATGAGCAGCTTCGGAAAATATACCCAAAAGGCTAAGTTTTCGTTTCAAGGAGATCATTATTATGAGAAAGTGTTTGAGAAGGACAAGATACGGGCCTGTATATAGCCCAACTGTATTGGGTACAGTATCCGATCAGACGATTGCTGTTAACAACGAACAAACGTACTGACTCATGTATATATATATATATATATATATATAAAGAACAAACACGCATTTCTAAGAGGGAATATATAACAACTTAGTTTTTTTTGCTAGAAGTTGAATGAATTGTTGTGTTTTCGTTAAGTAATAAACCCGATAACACTTATATGACAAACTAGTATGTCTAGCAGCGCCTGAAAGAGCTTAATTTCTAAATAGAGATTATGTTAAGAAACAGATGTACCGTACACAATGACAGAATTGTACACTGGTAGGCTCCACACGCAATTGAAATGCCAAAACGTGCAACGTTGAATGACCAATAGTCTCGGCAGAAAACAGTGATGAAGCCAACGACGATCATCAGAAGCGTCGACCATAGAAGTGATTTGCGGCGTCCATACCTAACATTTGGCCACATTGGCAGAACCGAAAGAAAAATTGAAAAGCGAAGTTGTTTGTTAGTTGCTTGAAGGTACGGGGAATATTTAGCGATCGATCGATGATATTACATGTAGCGATTTCGTTCAAAGGGTAGAGAGAGAGTATAATGATCCGGGCTTACCACATTATTGCATGCTATCAGACTCAGTCGTGCATCGAACCCAAGCCTTCGAGTACGTTCGTCCTGCACTCTAGTTTCTCAGCCCTATGTGTACATTTATATGGCCAGCATATGCTGATGTACATATATATATCAGTTCAATTTTGTTTAAAAAGTGCAATTAGAAATTTTGGCAAAGAACAAGGAGCTAATTACAAGCGCAATATTGGATCCTACTGGCTTTGGTTTGGGCCCGTTCATAAGAAATGGTACATTGGCAGTTTCCATTTAATGAAGGCAATCTATGCAAACTATCTGTGATATAACGCTGTGTTCAAGCAAGCTGATGCGTGAACAAAATGTTCTATTACCTGTCGGCGATTTTAGCGAATACGACATTTCCCACCATAATTCCAGCCATGAAAGAAGCCTGGGAAGCAGAAACGTACCAGCTTTTGTCGCATACGAGCCCGAACTGCAGGACACCAACCGAATAGGTAATGATACTTGTAAACGTTAGTTGTAGCATTAGATCCCTACTTAAATTTAAATTTATAAATTTTTTTCTCGTGTCTGTTTCTTTGGAATCGGCTGATCAGACCGTATGGGCATTCAATGCGATTTTCTAGCGATGAAATGTTCAATGCTTGGTTGCCGCTGTTAACTACTACAGTACAGAAAAAAAAATTCAGAAGAAAACATGTTCATAATCACTTTGTTTCAGGCAGACGAATGATACACAAAAGCAAACTACTATATCTTTAACTTTATGTAAGATATAGTACGTAAGACGAAAGTAATAAGCTAAGTAACCTAAGTTATTATTATCAATTTAATTAATTAATAATATCAATTTTCAACGGAACGCAAGTGTGTACATCTACTACGTACTTCTCGGACGACAGTCCAATCATAGTACGTCGTATCATACTCCCAGATTTTGCAATTTTCGGTTTCGTTCAGAAATCGCACTTTGCCATTTTCTTCGACCCATTTACGAACCAGGCATCTGAAGGTTAAGTTGTGCCAAGAAGTTGGTTAGAATTCTACCTAGACAATATGAAACGATACGTATCGTGCATATATGAAAATCTGTTCAGGGGTTTAGCCAGCTAGCAAACTCTAATTGCCAAAAATAGCACCTATGCCACTGACGATTATAGACAATGAGCCGTACAGATGTAGCGCAATAGCAATCTAATACCGTGGTAGCGTATGCGGTACGCCAGAATTTAGCGACAAGTTGATTTGTTGGAGACGAAGATCACAATGACGGCTACGAGTTAATATATCTACAGATAAATAGATCCGTTACTTCAGTCTGGTAGATACGATATGCTTCGAATTTTAGTTAGTCTGAAGCTAGCAACATTTCTGAAATGCATACTAAAGCATGGTTCGTGTTCCGAGTATAATGATCTTTGCCCCTAACAAAGCAGTCGATGCTGAAAGTCTCAGACGTAAAACTCGAAGCAATTAGGCATACGTAAGTTACATAGTAATCAAAGTTCTACCAGACCAGCACTAGACATCAAATGTTAACAAATCTCTGTTACCTTCGGGTTGCGCGTAGATTATCCTTCGATGCATACGTTACGACAATAATTCTGTTAATAGTAGATGTGTATAATTGGAAGCGTTAAACGTTATTTACCTGCTGAACTTATTTTGAACAACTGGTATAGCCTGTCGTTTCCATTCATCGACCGAGAACTTTTCGACAAATTGTGCCGGCCGGGCGCACCAGTGATCTTGTTTCGAGGGCGCGGCAAACGATAGAAATAAAATGTGAAATTCAAGTGGCCACGATCGAAGAATGATCAGTAGAAACACCGGAATCTGCCACGGCCCGATCTTGTCCACAAGAGCGTTTACATCAACCATTGCTTACTTCGGAGGTGGGCGTACCTTAAGACAAAGTACTTTACTCTTTCCCTAATCAAGTCAACTTTTTTGAACACCTGCAGTACGCGCGCTGTTGCTTTTCGACTGCTATTCGACCCACCGAGTCATGGTCAGTTGTGTATGTACGTCGTTCCTTCGCGTGATTCCATCCAGAGCGTGAGTCTCTTGCCATTGTCGTAAACCAGCAACCGTCGAGGGCAATTGCCGCGAGCAAGTGAGCGCTATTCGTCCGATAGACACGTCTGCCACTTGTTGCTTCCATATCGAGGTAGCGTGACTAGAGGCTATGCTAGCTACGTCTTGTCTCCTTGTACCGTAATAGTCTACTTATCTTCTCTCTAGAGCGCCATCGGATGTTCACTGCTTCCAGTCAAACCAACAAACGATTTCCGGTAACTAGCTATCATTATTGAGCATAGGCTGGTGCGAAGCTGTTGTCTCGTGGGTGGTAGAGGCCTCTCATTGTATACGCGTTCAATGTCCAATAACCATGACAGGCCGAATCTTTTGCCAACAGAGATAACCTAATTGTTTGTATAGGCGATAAACTCGAGCAATCAGCTTAAGTCGTGACCTATCTAACGAGGTTTCCGGCTGAGAGAACGAATATAATTTTTATATGTAACTGCTCATTTTGGTAAAGGTTACATGAATCGAGCAAATAGGAGATCGTATTCTGGAACCGTTGTATCGCGGTTACTTTGCAAAAGCGGCACTCGTCCTGTAATAGGCACGATAGATTATTTGGCTGACACTTGATTCAGATGGATAAGTTTCTACAAAAAAAAACTCGTCCACCCGCAGGGGACTGCCCCTAATATATCAGAGCGCAGTTTCACCATTTTAAAATCGACACACGAGAATGTGTAAGCTGTTGAGATCGTGTATGGAATAGACAAGCAATCCGCTAGATAAGATCGCTTATCTAGTTCCAGCTCGCCTCAGTCGGCCAAAAAGAAGCATACGGAGGAGCACCAGTGGCGTAGCTTGATCAGCAGGACGCGCCAGGGAAATGCGAACAAGAGCTGTCATTCTTTTAGTAAAATTCAAGTTAGCTCCTATTTCATTAAAGTTGTCGTAATCACTATTATGGTCACGGGGTCCCTACGAAGAGCATCAACAAGATAAATGATGTCCTAAAAATTTCCGTCTTAACAAAGGTCCAAACTTTTATGTATAATAAACAGCTGGACCAAATAATCGTGAGAAATGTGTTAAGTTTATACTCTAGCTAGAGCTCTAGGAATCAGTGTGTCAGTTCCGGCGAGTAATTCCAGTGGACTTGCTAGGGCAAAATCGCAAAGACAACGCCGAGCTATGCAGTATATAACACACAATAAGATATAAAATTTAATTCACTTTTTGAAGTCAATTAAACATAATTGATTTTTGCTAGCAGTTTACTTAGCAATTCTATCTAATGGCATCATATGTAGGTCTAGCTTGTTAGCATGTCAGCGAAGCGGACACTTATACGTACACAATGCAGGTTTTACTGAGCACGAACGCAGGTCAAAAGTGCAACAGCAACCTTCTGCAACGGATTCACGTTTTGATATCCATAAAGGCAAAGCGTTAGATGTGGCGATAGAATGGCAAAACTGAATGAAGTTGAAGTAAATTTGCTTTTTTTTTTGATGTCTAAAACTGCTGTCCTTCAAACTGGATCAAAAGGGCGATTTGGAAGCTTTAAACAACGATATGTAGATGCTTCGTTGTACGGAACAAGGTATGATCTGGAGTGTCACACAACAAGATCAAGATTAGGCCAAGGTTAAGATCAAGATTAAGGTAGTAAAACAAGGCTACTGTTGTAGATCAACCTAGATTTAGAAAAATTCATAGTTGTGTGCATATCCTGCTCAATAGTCATCTCCTATTTTAACATACGTACAATTCTTCGTTGACTTTTGCCACTATGGGCTCATATTATCGCTCTGAAGTACATGAATATGATTGACTATACATTGTTTCGTTGCAACGTTTCTCGAACGCCTGGCATTTATCTCCTCTTAGTAATTTGGCTGTGCTTAGCTTCTTACGATTGAAGATTCATTTTAAAAAACCCTCGATTCCCACTCACATTGCCGGACGGTATATACGATGCTATTGCGTCCATAGCTAAGGCTCTGGATAATGATTCCTACGACAGCAAGAGCTGGGAAATTTTATCAGCGTTCGATGGCTTGCACCGTGTCAATGATAACTTCGTTAACGAAGTAGAGTTGTCGATGTTCAACGGCAGACAGACTGTATGTACCTCAATAAGGCTTCTAAGCCGACACGTCAGTTAAGTGAGGGCATTTTTCGACGCTACGCGAGACGGCGGAAAAATTTGCTTGTGATTTTATCGTATGAGCCACTTAACGATTCCAGAGTTGATATCAGTGTCGTCTTCGAAGCGGTAAAAGCAATCTATGTTCTGTTTGGAATTCAGAAGCTACCCGGCAAAAAAAGGGAAGTTAACAGCTCCAGCGTGCAAAATTTTAACGGGAATGAGCACAGATTCAATTACGTCCGATACTGCGATAAAGGATCCAGAAGACATGTCTTCAAGCAGAGCAGAGAACTAGCTTCAAAAAAGTTTTCCTTCCTTCCCGAATTCGAAGGTCAAAATGACAATCACAAATAAACACGAAGAAGTGAGAGAAGATTACTTTCTTCTTGCTGCAGTGGAAAGAGCTACCCAGCACAATTCCAGATACGCGGCATAGGTGATTCGCGTCGAGTATGCCACTGAAACTCCAACTGAAGTGCGCGGCTTCGTTGGAAAGAGCGTCACAAATTATTCTGGGGATTATGATATAAAAAGTGCAGGCAATAGAATAGGAGTGAGCCGATACAAACGGTGGAGCTGCAACAATTGTCGGGCCTTCTCAATCGAGCGAATAACCTAGTCAAAAAACGTACGTGTACTTGGCACACCTCGCTTCGTACGCAGTCGACAGATACCTAGAAACATAGGCGCTGAGTGCTAGATCCTAAAGGAGAATTCGTGTAATTAACATCGATGCCGAGGGATGACTGACTATGGCAGAAGCCCTATCCCTAATGCGTGACCGCGTCCTGTATGAAAACAAGGCTCCTCTATTCACGATTACCACCCTTACCAGCGCTGCATGACGTTATGCTGGATTTCCTTATTCTACTGCAGTGGGCAACGGTTTAGCTCAACGGTGTAGCACGGCTCAATGGTATACCTTCAGCAATTTGGTTATGAATTTCTAAAAATGATTTGCATGCTTTTTGTTTGCTTGGTTTTAGAACTGCCCAAGATTTTTAAAGAAAATGTGAATCTTCAGCATGCAAAATGCAAATTTGGTATCTGGATAATCGCAATGGGGTAGTTTCAACGTAAAAATAGGTTTACGGTGAAAGAACACTAGGTTGCATTGGTTGGGAGGTATGAGATAATCATACTACGACTAGGTTGTTATAGGGGAATATCTGAAGTAAGGTAACTAAATAGCCGAAACAGGATTACTTAGTGGACGCAGTCAAATTAGGTAATGGAACAAGGTAAGCAAGATAACCAAATAAAGGGCACAATTACTTTAGGCTGTACCTCCATAACAATTAAAAACATACTCACCAGTATAGTACGCTTCTTTATGATACAAGTCTCTATACTCTCGTTCCACGTAATCCATTTAATTGAGGTGCTTGAGGCTGATTAAAGTGCTAGTGATTTTCAAACGTTAGCAGTTTTGTTCTGCCACCTAATTATACGCGTGCTTACTTTAAGTCAAGCATATTGAATTTCCTTGTTGGTTTTATACACCTTCAAAGGGTGTGCACTGTGCAGAGGTTGCAGTGGGCAGACGAGCAGGTCGGAGGCATGATTGAGGTAGGTTGTGGCGTGAAGGCTATCTGAGCTTCCAGGCAATTCCCGAATCTGAAGACATGGACAAACGGAAGACAGGCCTCTAACACTCCGAGCAGTATTTCTAATGACATATTGAACTGAGTAACTCTAAAAGATACAACATTTTTGCGAAGCAGAATGACGTTTGCGTTGTTAGCTATCAATGTTTTACTTTCGGAAATCGATATCACATATATTTTATGTGCCCCATAGATTTTACATAAATAACGAATAGAATATAGAAATCAAGTAATTCTACACAGCTTCACTGTACAGCTACATGAAGTGTAGTAGTCCTTTTACGCATTCTGCTGTAAAATTAAGTACGACCTTGCCAAGTATATACATAAGGCAATGCAGAACTTACTTGACAACTTGAGAACTTTTGTTTCCGATTTTTGAGGTAGGAGAGCGGAATGTAGGCAAAACGAGGATAAAGAAAAAAAGTAAGGTTGATACCCTCAAAGTGTCAAATAACTCTAACTAAAATATCAAAAATACTTTTACGGGGTGCAAGTTTGCATCGTCGATTAATGATCTATTACAGGTTTCGACAAAGATGACCTAGAGAGCAAAGCGCCTCAATGGAGTCACTAATTTGGGTATTGTCGCATTGGAAAGCCGATCCAATCCCCGCAATCTCGGCGGAGATCACTGTTTCTATAGGATAGTGTTTGGCTCGCATATAATAATACGCGGGAAGTACATCGCTATATGGAACGCCTAAGAATATTATTGAGAATATTTATACAAATGGCCTTGTTCTTTCAGGGTCCGCATAGCTACTGATAGCTAAACGAGCATCTGACAATATGGAGCGTCCACGGCACAGTTACGTATACCTTCCACTATAGTCAATGCCCTTGGTATCGTTATCATCATCATGAAATAAATCATTCTTTTTTTTTCTATTTGACGTATCTCTGTAACAAACTGTTTGGTGCTCGAGCAACGGACTTAGGGCAGTCTCCCTAAAACTATGCATAGCACAGAAGCGCCACAGACTTCTAGGTGGATGCTAAAGTAGAAATTATAAAAACTAAGTAGGAACTGATTATGTAAAGGTGAAAAAAAGCTAAATATAATTTACCTTAACCAAGACTGATGATAGATCTATTGAGTAAGAGAGTTCCCATTGCACGCGTACAGATAAACGTGCAGCAAAGCAAGGTTATGGTACACATACATAAACTCAGAATTATAGCATTTGTAAGATGCTTAGAAATTCAACAAATTTGCGTGAACTTACATTTGCTCTTTTATAGGAAATCTTCAACGTTTTATTGTAGAGCATTCCCTTTATAATTGTTCAATTTAGAATCTACTGCTATTCGGATAATTAACTTTTGACAATCTAGCCACTGAGTGACTGTTTCTTCCAGTTGTTTTTTTTTTTACCAAAAAAAATAGAATTGTTGGTATAGGGTTAACTCAGCAAACACTTTTTTTAACCGATTTCCCTGGCTAATCTGCCTACTAGCAATTGCATGCCGTCATATGCAATGAAGAAAATTGGCTCGGTGATTCCAAACCAGCGAAGTAGTACAGCTGAAGTTTTAGCTAATACAGAAATGAAATTAAAAGCGACTGGACGTAAGTTATACTTGATTCTCAAAGAATCTTCCGATGAGCGCGATTCTAACAACGCACAGTTTGTACGATACAAAAATATTATGAGCTCTGATGTAACGCTCCTTGGATAAGACACTTAGATCAGTACTTATATAAAATGTAGTCTGTGTGGTAAAGTATTTTGCATATGAGAGAGTGGGGTAATCATTCCTTAGCAGTTTGAGGGCCCAAAGGACCTGGATCGATCTACGTTATGTGACTTCTAAAAAACTGAAGAAGACTTCCAGAAGGTAAAGCATAATATCCTCGATAGAACTTTCGTTTACAAGGCTGGAAGACTCATCAAGCCAGTCAATTTAATACACTTTGGTCTTTTATATCGAAAGTTTGCTTTCGTAAAGCATCACGTCAATTGCCAATTGGATCTTGTAGATTTGTTTCAATAAACGGTAGATCTTTTCGGCATTTCATGCGATTTTTGCACCTTTGTAATCGTTGGCCATTTTTAGCCCTTGATCTTTTGAGACCTTTGACCTGCCTTGAGGCCAAAACTTAGTTTTTTTTTAGGTGAATTTTTAGTATGTACTGTATTTTCGCGCCTTCTAAAGCAGTCTACACCTGCTAATACAACTTGACGCACGATTACTACTAGAAACTGCTAAAAAAAAAACAACTAAAAAAAGTATTTTTGAAAAACAATGAACAAGTTAATGCTGTAGGTGTTTAATAAAAGATGCAATTAGGGTAAATTAAGGTTATATTAAATAGACATAATCGGCAAAGATGACACATCTTGGATATGAAGCAAATATTAGAAATGTCTTCAGAACAAGTCATAAAAGCTTTGATTTATGCCGTCCTGTATATGTGTGTAAACAATATAGAGCTGTCAGCCACGATATTTAGCTCAACTATATAAAGCACGCGTCGGTCAAAAGTTTGGTCGTATATGTTAGAAGTGTAGCTTCGTTTCCACGTACCGAATACGCCGTTAACCTTTACAAGCTAATAGCTCAGTAGTAATACGTGGACGAGCATTTGCGTAACCTAGACAACTGAATCGGTAACTCGCGAACTCGTGTTTGGATGGGAATACGTTTAAAGATAGATAATAACAGTCAATAGGGTATAGGATATAAAATCAACTTAAGTAGCATTCACATAGAATGAGGCCAATTTAGGTACGATTGGCGAAATCTAGTATTTCTAATGCAATCAATTGTATTTTCGTAAACCTCGTGACTTTTTCTTTTTACTAGTTACTAGTATAAAAAAAAATCCCCTCTACATGAATATGCTTCCGGGTTCCCTTGGCAGTATCTCCCGTTCTGTGCACGTTCGGGGCGACGGCCTCCGCCGGCGAACTGTTCAGGTTATATGAAGGACTCAGTGGTTTTCCCTGTGATGAAAAGAACCACCTCACTTCGCACGAAATAGGCAGACACGTAGCTCCCCCTTTATTACCGCACCTGATCTCTTCCGATTTTACCCGTATTCCCTTCAACTAACGCACCCCACAAAGTGTGAAGTAGACGCTCACTGAGGCGAATATAATTCGAGATACCATGATAACTTGCTATCATATTGAACATATGGACTTCAACATCAAAAAGCGTTGATTGCTTCTGTCGTAAGGAGGAAGATCTATCTAGTGCTGCCCTGATCGAAACATTGTATAGCTATTCATAAGAGCCAGTGTGATTGAACCATGCGTCCAACGCTGCTTTTCCATTATAATGTTGTAGTAATTGTTGCATATATTCTTGTTGTATCAGTAGTACTATTGCCATGTTGACAAAAGCATATTATAGTTGGCGTCGCTATTTACAGCCGGTGATTGTTCGCACCGTTATCTACCCCCTTAATACGCAGTCGTCTTGGTTTTTTTTTTATTATTATACAGAAAAAAAAAGTTTATGACGTAATTCTGTATCGGCAGAAACTAGGCATTGGCGGAAAGCGCTGAGGGCGTAGTCGATGAGGTCAAAATGTGTCAATATGAAGAATTTACAGCACCGATATTTTAAAAGGCAATAAATTTACCTTAATACTAACGCAATACGAGCTGTGGATCAATAGAAGACAATCGTTCGACCCAATGGCATCAAGCATCCAACTCGAACCTATTTGCCAAGACCACATTATTCCTACACACAAAATATATCGAACATATTTCTATTTATAAATGTTGTAATTATCAAACCGTATCGATAACAATCACTAGCACATTGCTCACTGAAGCCTATCTTGCTAATAACCTCTTTAATATGGGTGTTCGGGATCTACGGCCACTCCCACAGCGCAGACAAGATAGTTACGCGCAGCGGGATCTTGCACTAGACCGGGTGCAGACCCATTATAGCGACGCAGAGATTCGTGACGGACAAAGACATCTTTCCACCTCGGACGTATATATCAGCTTTTACAGGTAAATTGTCAATATTGCACGCGGCAGTCGGTTCGTTTCGTCCGGTAGGATCACGTGCCTACTTACTGCGTGTTACGAATGGTTAAAGAAGAGCCTGCATGGCCTGACTATCATTATTATTGCTCAATCTCAATCGATCGCAGCCTTCGAGAACGAGCCGCCCAGCGTTAGTCACCAAGCGGCAGGGTATCGTCAGAGCATCATCGTTATTTTCGCCATAACTGTAGAACCTATTGATACGACACAATGTTCTGCCAAGAAGCAGAAACAGCAAAATTTTCAACAATTTTGTCCGAATAATAGCTGGCTACTTACAAGACACAGCGTATCTTTTATCCCGGTTATCTCGATTTTCCTCTCCTATCTGAGTCATTATGTTTTCGGGTCCTAGTGGCCGATTTCGATTCATGTTTAGCTTGTCAGCCAAAAAGAAAGATACCCCACGAAGGTCGTATAAATCGAGCCGCGTGCTGTTACAACACACAATTAGCCCCTGCGACGATCTGGAACTCCTATAAAAGACGTAAACGCTTGATAGAGAGGAGCCTGTGAAACATAACAGCCCCGAAGTCATCCGGAAAGGTTTTTTTGAATGAAACTTCCGAAAGAAGACATAGATGAGCCCAAGGCTAAAAAGTGAGGGACTCAGATGCCAGGTTGATCGCTGTAGAATGGAGGCTTTGGCCGTCTGAACTTTTAGAAAAGCCTAGCTTTGTTTTGTCCAGAACCTTTAAAATCAAATGGGATTGACAGATTTCAGTTGCTCGATGATATGGGAAAGCTTTCGAAGCAAAATCAATTCCTTGTCTATTAATACTTCAGTAGTCGATTGTACGCCCCTTTTGTCTGGTCTGTATACTGTCTTGCAGAGACAAAGATGTATTCGTTCATGGGGGGAATTTATAATAAGTTTTAGTATCAGATAAAATATTCAATAATGTAGTAGAACTCAAATCGTTTATTTTATTTTTTTTTTTAACAAAATGTAAGTGAGATGACAGGTTAAGTAGAGTTACAGCCCTGTTTATGTTAGGTGTCTACATCTACTTTGCCTGATGGTCTGCAACGACGTTTGCCAGTAGCAGTTCCTGAAGAGCCTGATGCAAACTCAGGTTGACTGGAGCACATAAAATGCAGGTACTTAAATAGCTATGCAATTTGCATCTCGATATCATTCTAGTCGAGCTCGAAACGTTTGGATTTATCTCGCGTAGCGTCGCCATTGAATAGCCGGCCAGTTTTTTTTTTGAGGACCTTTTCTCCGGGAAACTAGCAATTGACAGACTAGCAAAAACAGACTTAGTTTTTTCGAAGTTGCCCGATGCCTCTACACTCGTCAGCGTTGAACAACGAATTTCGAGAACACTACGTATCCCATATGATATTATTTCTAACTTGATGGAAACTGGCAGCCTGTTTAGAAGATACAGGCAATCCTAATTTTCCTTCGTATTGACTTCGTAAGTAAAGTATCTTTACTTGACGGCAGTAATTTTATGATATCTACATATAGTGCTATGCAGAGTCTGTGCGTGACAAACACTTTTCTATGGGCAGTATTTTGTCAAGCAATATTGCCAAGGACAAAACAATTGAGTTGTTAGCACGTTGCTAATTAAATTATCATGTTTATATTTATGTTTGTCTAGCTGAATACGTAACACTGGTAAAGATGTAAAAGCGTATATGGTATTTTAGGCAATATAGAATCAGCAGTCGTGAAGCTTTTCGAAATATTTCTTGGACGTCAAGCGGCTGGCTAAAAGAACTATGCGAAATTTCGAATACAGATTTCTTCACCTCAATGCTTTGCTAGGAAAGTTCTACATTATGAGAAATAGACAATCCTTAGCCATTTATTTAGAAATCATATTTGATTGATACTATCTTTTTCGCATCATGTTGTCGATGTCCGCGATCACACTCAGCGATGTCCTGCACCACCGGCAGGCCGATCGTGCAGCCCGATAGAAGCACGTTACCGTGCCCGCGTGCGGTGTGTAAACTGACGTAAACGCGTCAGGTAACCATCATAGGACTACAATTCAAGAAATGACTTATCACTGCAAAAAATCAGTAAGTCAACTCGTGGTCGCTAATTACCAGGTGTTCTTACTGCGATACAATTTTATGCAGCCGTGTGTGTTGGCTAAGAAAAGCATCGCATATAGAGCTGTGTGATCTTCTATCAATCTAAGATCCTAGATGGAGTTTCCCTATCCCGCGAAAGGACCGACTATCTTTACTACGTAATGCAAAACAGTGGGGCAGGATTCGAATTTGAGCCAAGTAAAATTGATGTCTTAACTCGCCAGAATTGTTTTACGTAGCGGTGGCAAGTTATAAAATACTGAAACGCCTACCAAAATGTCGAATGCCTGTCCAGCTATGCGTCAGGTTGATTATTTGGGTTTAATGTTGGAAATCTATGTGCTTTCTTGTTTAATTTTCCTACGATCGATCGTCGTCGCTTCTATGATATACGAATAAATTCCTTTCATCGATCGAAGGGGCACTCAATAGACCATTGTTAGCGGTTTGGAAAGTTGCCAATATGGCGATTTGACAGAATTTTGGAATACAGAGTGTTAGATAATGAAATTCTGCGAAAGAATCTCGTAATAATTTAAAGGGCATTTTGTGTAGGCAATATTTTTCTCTTGCATGACAGGTCCCCATATTTAAACGCTTGCTTAACGAAGATATTACGAAACAATGGCCTAACATCAGCAAACACCAGTATCTTACCAAAAAGCTAATTCTTAAGCATTATCGTGCAACGATTTAGGTAAATATGTCTGAACAAATAATTTACTAAAAACCTTACTAATCCTTTAAGCTTATCATTAGCGAGAACTAGCGATTGTCTAACAAGAGATCGTTGTTTCGATTAGAGCATACGTTTGCAGAAGCATCGACCGGCATGTTTTCATGTACACAATTCTCTCCCTCAAGATCATATATATTCAGAAACAGACTTTTTATGATTAACAACGACCGGCCAGAACACGAAACAACGAACAAGTTACAATGGCCAATCTCAAAAAACAATTCCTAACAGTTTGACAAACGGTCGGTGACGATGCAATGGATAGAACCAAAAAACGAGGCTGGCCGGCGTTTAGAGACGCACGGCGACACATCATCGAACCAGACGGACAGAGCGATAAAGTAACTACTAACTGCAACGTTAACTAGCAGAAGGATTTCAATTTGATGCGATGTCTGCAACTTCACAGGACGAACCTTTGCTGCTAAGTCTTACGTTGTTGAATGAGCTACAGTTTCGACAGACTCAAAACCCATTGACGGTCATGGAACGCAAGAAAAATAGCGGGAAAAACATCTGCAGCCCGTTGGTTATCGTCGTCACTGTCGTACTAGTTGAAGAAGCTATTGATTATGATCAGCCGATTTATCATTATACAGCAGTTTTGCTTGAAGTTAGAAGTGTTGACATAATCGCAGACGGGTCAACCAGCCAACAAATTCAGACCAAAAAAGAAAAAAGTAACCTATCTAAGATCACAATGAAGTAAATACAGATCTATATATATACATATATAGGCAAACATGGCATACAAATATATTTCAATCACTAACATTTTGCCATCCTTGTTCGACTAGATGCACAGCTTTTTATGATACCTATATGCAAGTATGCGTCAAAGGAAAATAGTTACTTACAGAATACGTAAGTAATGTAAAATGTTTGCTTATATATTGTTTTGAAAGAACCGAAAATATTAAAAAACGCGAAAAATTTGTAGCGAAATTTTGTCGTGATGACTGCCTGTAGACTATGTCCATGATATGCAAAAACATGCGACAATGCGCACAAATTGTAAATATAGATTTTATACACGATAGTGATTCAAAAAACAATGACGCGAGCTTGACGAATTAACCCGATGCTGTCTGTAGTCAGGTACATCACACAAAATCTACTTCGATTTGAGTTTTGCTTTTGAAAGTGCTTCGGGTCCATCTAGCGGCGTTTCCACCGAAGTGCTTCCAACCTACATTGCGTATCTTTATCTACTAGGGGGTAAAACATTTTTCATTGAATATAATTTAGTTTCTCTTTCACGCGTTAAGTATCATCACATAACAACGCTTAACCTAACAAAAGTCTGCTACCTGACAAGCGCAGGTTGATCCTGTCCTACACCTCTGTAGATTTTGCGTTTCGACATGTCCATGTAAGTATACTGTGCTTAACGATCTTAATAACTGTATTAGCAAACTAAATCAAGCTTCGAAGACGGAGAGCTGACTTCGAATGAGCGGACAACATCTTACAATGAGGTGGTAAGTGGTCTTTTTAACGCGCAGCCTGGCTGACCCCTGTTGCTGTTGGCTATACATTGCCAACAGTTACGGAAGTGCCATCACCCGCTTGTGCTACCACTAGCCCTCTGCGTTCCCTACCTATCATTCTCGTTTGCTGTAGCTGACTTGTCTATTCCTTTCGGTATTTTCCTCTACAGCTTCTTATACTGCTTATGCTTCTTTTTACGCAGCGTATGTAGATACGCTGTTTCATCGTGTTTAGCATTATTGTCAAGTCTTGCGCACTACGAATGTCAGTGAAGGGGCCTGCTGGCGGCTTCTAGGGTGAGTCCGTTGTCGTCCTTTTGTCCCGCCCAACCCCAGATACGAAAGCTAAAGAAGCAACGAAGCTTCCGATGCCGCGCCTGACAATAGTGCTGGGCCAAAAAGGTTACTGTGGGCACTTCTGTACTCGTTTGCCTCCTCTCTCTCTCTCTCTCTCTCTCTCTCTCTCTCTCTCTCTCTCTCTCTCCCCTCCCTTTCTCCCCCTGTTTTCTCTTGGCCCGCTCTTGCGGGCTGGCTTTTTTCTACAATAGCTAATAGGAACTCCCGCACCTGATGTTTCTTGTTCTTGCCACCACTAAATACGCAGGTATACGAGCTCGCCGTGTAGCCATAGACGTTATATATAGATATATATAATATAAAGTTACGCACTGCTTGTAGATACAAGTGCTTTCACTTTGTGACGCTGGTGCTGAACAAGAAAAATAACACAGATCAGCCACAGCGGCACGAAGGCCTCCATTTTCTGCTAATATAACGCTTCCTGACATATGGTAAGCCTGTCATCTCCTTAAGGCAATGCTTGAAATTGATTCGACTACTTTTTCTTTAATTGAGAGATCTGGTTGTTGGCGACGCAGACAGCGTGTGGCCGGTTATTTTCTCCATTGTCACTGACCACTATCGGCTGATGGCTGTCGGTGCCCTGTACCGCTGCCCTGACCGCTCCTTTAGTCTGTGTATATAATGCGAATGTGTTTGTATGTGTGAAAACAGCGTCGATTCAGAGCGTTTGCCTATGTGGCAAGGGCGAGCAAGAGAGTTCGGGGCATTTAAACAACTGGCGATGCAATGGTGGCCGTCGCACGGAAGCCTCCATAGTTACACTTCAGATCATTAGGAAAGTTTATCCGATGAAAGCCGTAGCTATTTCAGCTCTAACAATACGATAGCGGTAATAAGATCAAATAATTTTTTGTTTGCAGTAGCGACTGTATGGACGTTCTAGACTTCGGCATGCTGGTAGTAATCATACTGTTGTTGTTACTGCCACGTAACAATAAAAAAAGCCGCCTATACTTAGCCGTTCTTAATGTAATAATCGACTAAATGATTTGAAAGCAACTTTCCGGCGCTACCGAACGACGCTTTTGAAATCCGTTTAACGAGGTTTATATACGAAAAATGATCTAGTATAATATATCGAATTTGTAAAAAATAGTGTCCTTCTATTTCGAGAATGCATGTTCTCTATTACTTTTAGCCTCTATTATCCTCCATATTGGGGGGTAATCGCAGAAAGCACTAAGGCTAAGCTAATTAATAAGGAGATTCGATGGCTCAGTTATTATTGTTTCACGTTTTTACCAGTATTGTAACGTAGTTTACATGCTTTTCAGACGTGGTGACACTTAGGCTCTCTGATGGCGACTTGGACAACTCTGACAGGTAGCGCCCTTACGTCATAGTAGAGGACTGAAAAGGAAATAGGAAGGAAAAAGGTACATAACGATTGTTGCCATCATGTAGGATTGCGGTTAAAGCACTCTAACAGCAATATTTTATATTATCAACACGATTATTACCCAGAAATTGAAATTAAAGGATTAATAATATATCAAAAAAAAACATTAAATTAGATTTTAACATTATAGTCAGTTTCTAAGCTAATGTATTGTGGCTATATGCTTAACGTAAAACTGCCGATTCCCATGTACACACACGCGTAATGTTTACGTCCAAGGCTCTTGGTGGTGTCCTCTGTATAGCCTTAGGTATAGGTTGATATACTTCGGAAATTAGTAACACATACAGCTCCTATGACGTTCCGCTTTCTCGTAGCTGTTTCTGGGACTGTATTGATTACATTCATCGTGAAGCAGTCTCAGAGAAGTTCGGCTTTCCGACACAACGAACAGTTCCATGGCATTCAATGGGCTCAGCACTTAAAGCTTAACGTTTTACAGTTACTGAATTGCTATATAGACTGTCTGAACTCTGTAGCTACAACTTGAATGTTCCATTTGTTGGGGTCGGGGGTCATGACCACTACTAGTCCACTGAACGGTGCTAATTTTCTGGAAGCACGGAATAGTAGAACGATTTTTGTTACATGTGCACTATTTAACCTGAAGTTTATTGTCTGGCTTTCATAGATCTAGGGGCACAGCAGAATTTCTATTTCTCATATGTGAATGACTCCATATCTGAATCTCTTTTCAGAATTTTTACATACATACATGTCTATATATTATATTTAGGCTGGGTGATTATAAGCAATGACGATTTTGTTTACAGAAGTGTATCTATATACATATGGTTTGCAACAAAACTAGTAATTATTGATTTGTTAGACATTTGTTTGTCTGTTAGAGAAGTTTTTTTTCAAGACAATAATTAGGTTTACACCTCTCCATTCACTGGTTAATGCCGGTGAGTCTCGTTGACCTTAATGGGTGCCTCTGAAATATAAGATATTATATAGCACACTAGAAACACATCGTTCTTTCCATTTTATAGGACAGGTTATTAATAAGACAGTTTGTTTCTAGCGATGTAGGCTTATTTGTTCGCCTACAACCCCCGATCAACTTTCCGACGACGATAATAAATGCCCAACGCATCAATTTTTAAGCTACTACACAAGCTCATATCGACTTGTCCCACTAGATGCTATAGTCTATAAGAACTCCAGTTCTTTTAGTAAAACACCTTAAGAGTTTTTGGCCCTTTATGACAGTAGTGAACTGATCTGATCTGTTACCTGTCCATATAAACACCAAACCCGAACGCAACAGCATTTCCGGATACCAAGTCACTGAAATGGAAGGACTGAATTACGCCGTTAGAAACTTGGCTCAAGTTTATGAATGGCGATAATTAATAATTCTAATTAAAGTTGAATAGATAATATGGGCCGAAAACAAATCACGACCCAGTTGGCAAATCCGTAAACCGAGCGTCACCACCAAACAAATCAATGTCGACCGCGCATGATCTTCTTATGCGTAGCTTTATCATGGATCGTACTCCTGCAAGAAAATCATTCCGTAATAATATAATTTCATAATTGTATTATCTAGTATCAAAAGAAATGTCACGTTAACACAGGCGATATTACATCAGTGTGTTTCAGAATTTGTACAATGACTTGATCGTCACTTATGTTCAGACCGGACTAATCATAGACCCATAACTGGACAGCCGTTTTTTTCTCGTTTAACAATGAAACGTTCACAGTTGGGTGTTTGCTAAATTATATGATGAGCGAGCAAAGGCCAAAGCCATACATAACTCTATCGAATGTAAAATTTAACTAAAATGAATTAAAACTTATCAGAGAGAGAGAGAGAGAGAGAGAGAGAGAGAGAGTTAGAATTAGTGCGATAGTCTTAATCATATAAATTTTGTGAAAGTGGAACTGGCAAGCGTTTACCTGCATGTCTGAACAAAGGTGTCATTTCTTTAAAAAAATTAATACCATTGAAAATAAAAAAATGACTAATTTTCAACAGTCTCGAATGCAAACAGACACAGGTTTATTTTAGATAAGCCTCAACATGAACAGTCAGCACAATTCAGTTGGACCTGCTTCAAAGACACATGAGATAATCAATGCAAATTTTGTCTCGATCCAACTAATCAATGAGAGTTGAATAAAAATGAATATAGGATCAAACTTTAACCTGGAGGGGCGAAATTTAAGTTTGAGCGCTTCGGAAAATTTCGACAGGCTTGTTTTGCATAGAAGTTCTTCGAAGTCTGGCTTCCTAGATACTTTTCGTTCTGCTTTTATTTCAATTGTTCGGATTATTAGGTTAGCAATTAAAAAATAGAACAGACGAGGTCTGGGGGTAGCCCCATAAATCCCTTGATCCCTTCCACGAATGCGTTCTTTATTTATCAGAGCATCAGTTTGCTGTCCAGGTATTGAGCACGGGTTTCGAATAGCTAGGTAAAGAAGAGTTGGCATTAGTGAGAGTCAGCTTAAAAATGGAAACTACTACTAGGAAATATCGAGATCGGTAGCTTAGAAACATTCATCTATACGACGATTT